GAAAAAAAGGAGAGGTTGAACCACTTACATAGTCTTAAGTGTTAACCAGAAATGTATACTCATATCAATATTGTGAATTGCTCAGCTTCGACCAGTGCTTAGCTGGGAGTTCAGCCTAGGCTATTGGCTAGGGGCTTTTATTCCTCTCCATGTGGGCCTCTCCAGAAAAATCCTCTGGCTTCCTCAAAGCATGAAAACTAGATTCCAAGAGCAGATGTTTCAATAGTGAGGAATCAGAAGTTTCTAATTTTGTAAGGCCTTTGGGCCTAGATGTTGCCACAAAATCATGGTAACAATATTCTAGTGGTCAACAGTCATAGAGTATGCCTAGATTCCAGGAAACAGAATATAGACCTTGTTTCTCAATGGAAGGAGGGGGGTCTCAAATTCTTTGAGACCCCCCTCCTTCCATTGAGAGGTAAGATCTATATTCCATCTTTAATCTGTCACAATTATCTTGAAAATAATTCCTTTGTGGTGAATAAGACAAATATGACTTTTTATGTAAGGCATTTGCTGATATGTATGCCAGATTTACTAAGACCTTAAATATGATTAGCTTGCACAATTAGCAGTTATCTTAAGTCTATAGGTCTGCAGGAGAGCATATAAAAAGGCCCTGAAGAAATTACCACAAATTAACCTAATTATTACTATTAATAGTAAAGTACATGGATTGACTATATGATACCTCCATTCAAAAGGTAAAATAGTGGAAGAGGTCTCTATAAAACTGGCCAGACCATAGGAATTCATATTTGATGAATGACAATGGAACTTCCAATTTGTTTTTACCTTAATATGGTTAGGACATATTTAACCTTAGTTTTTAAATGTTTCATTTCCCTACCTGCCTTAACAGTGTGTATTCCTTCTATATGTTTGCAACACTGGTAGTGAGATTTTGATATGAAAATAAAATGTTTCTGAAAAACTGTTTCTCAGTTTTTGGTGTGTGAATTTATTGGAAAAAATATTTGAACACTTACCACGTTCTAGGAACTGGTCTATATTGGGAAAATACAGCAGTGAGCCAAAAGAAACAGACCTACACCTGCCCTCTTGAAATTTGCATGCTTAGTGGAAAAGATAGATAAAAAACAAATAAATAAATATGTAGTGTAAGTTAGTGATAAAATAACCATAAGGCATAGTAAGGCGGTGGAGAGTGATAGTGGGGAAAGAGGATGTTTAGACAGTGTGGTCAGGGAAGGCCTCAGTGATGAGTGAGGTTTTGAACAGAGACCTGAATGAGGAGAGGAAACAGACCAAGTGAGGATCATGGTGAAGAGCATTCAAGGAACAGCTAGTAAAGGAACTTTGAAGAATGAATTGGTTTAGGTTGTTTGAATGGCACCAACAAGTTGTATACTGAAACAGAGGGAATGAAGAGAAGACTGATAGGAGTTATGGTCAGTGGAAGAGGCAGTGCTGTAGTTACATGTGGCCAAGATCATATACATATGATTATGATTATTCTTTTTGATTGGAAAATAATTTTTGTGGTAATGATGATGCATAGCATTTTGTGGATACTCAGTCCCTGCTGGATTCTTTTTTTATTTTGATAGAGTCTTGCTCTGTTGCCCAGGCTGGAGTGGAATGACGCCATCTCAGCTTACCGCAACCTCTGCCAGGTTCCAGCCATTCTCGTGCCTCAGCCTCCTGAGTAGCTGGAATTACAGGGGCATGCCACCACGCCCAGCTAATTTTTAGTGGAGATATGCATTATCTCATTTAACACAATCCTTTGGTGGAGATTTCTGTGCAATTTTAAAGTTGTAAGTGAGGACACAGAGGCCAACAGAGGTTGAGTAATTGGTCCATAGACACACACTCTTAGAGACTGCAAGGATGCTGGTAGAGGTAGTGGGTAGTGGTTGAATTGAATCTATACATTGAAGGTGGAGCCAACAGGAATTGCTGATAGATCAGATATAGCTGATGAATCGAAGAATGAATTGAAGAATGACTCTGAGGTTTTTTAATCTGAGCAACTAGGTATGGCTTTGCCGTTTGCAGAGGTGAAAGTGCATTTGGCTGTTGGAGAGAGGGTGCTGTAGACTGAGTTTCTTTTCGATGCGTTAGATCCAAATAATGATTAGACATCCAAGAAGACAGTTGTGTCTGTAATGAGAGAAGGAGGTATTATTTTGAGAGTTAGCAGTTTTGAGGAAGCTTCTACTGAGATCAGTTTCCCTTATTATTGTGTGTCATGCTCCAAGGCCTCTCTCATTAAAGATGTGCCTGTTTGTTCTGGAACACAGGTGTGGTGGGCATCGCTGTTGTTCCTTGCTGGAGTATCATATATGCTGTCATACTGTCTCGTTTGAAATGCATTCCAGCCTCCAGATTGAAGATATTGATAAGGAAGAAGTGATTTCTCTTTTTAAAAATATATGTAAATGACAGAAATCTATATATGTGATAAAATTTTATGAAACTATACACTGAAGAAATGAGTGCATATGAAAAAATGAAAAACTGGCGAAAAAAAAAAAGCTCACTAGTTTAGTTAATTGTACTGTGCCATTATCACTTTTCTGGTTTTGATATATTACTATAATTGAGTAAGATGTCATCCTTGCAAGAAGCTGCATGTGGGTAATGTGAGCTTTCTGCACTATTTCTGCAACTTCTTTTGAGTCTAAAATTATTTCAAAATAAAATAACAAGAATGTAAACTTGTAATGGAATCTCTTACTTTAAATTATTGTCTTGTTTAGTCTTATCTGATGTAGGGATACTATATTCACATGAAAATGAGAGGCAGTGAGGGATAAAGAGCAGTTGGTTAATGGGTACAAAAATACAAGTAAGATGCAGTGTTCAGTAGCACAATAGGGCAACTATGGTTAATAATAATTGATTGTATATTTCATAAGAACTAGTAGAGTAGAATTGGAATGTTTCTAACACAAAAAATTGACAACCAATTACCTTGTTTGATCATTATACATTATATGCTTATATCAAGATATCATTGTACCTCATAAATATGTATAACTGTTATGTGTTCATAAAGTAATGAAAATGAAAAATGACCAAAAAAGTGGATATTTTTGTAATATGCCAGACTTAATGGGATGTTGGTAATTCTTTACTTATTAGTGCTGCAAACTTTTAATACATTAGCAGATTCTTCATATTTTATTTTAAACTTTTTATATGAGCAGAATGTATTTTGTGTATACATTTAATGTACCTGAAGGATGAAATGTGTAGTAATTTGTTAAACTAAAAGGCAGTAATAAGACATTTGGCAAATGTAGCATATTGCAAGCATTGCAGAGAGCCAAACAAGTTAAACATGTCAAAATAATTTGTAGTTCTGTGGCATTTATGGACAATTTATGATAGCTGGGCACTACTGAAAATCATATTTCATTAACTCCTACAATATTATTTCATTAACTCCTAAAATGCTCATTATTTTAAAAATATAATTTTTTCTTATTTCTCTTTTCTTAAAAAGGCGAAATTCCATATTTGTTAGATGATTCTGCTATCATTAATTTGTTCACCTTATGTTTGTTTTTCTTAATAGCAACAATGGTGGAATAGAGATGTTAAGTCTGTGATTACCTTTATTTTATTTTTTTGTTTTTAAATATGAATATTCAAAGATACAAGGACTCAGTTGAGAAATGTCAATACTGTATTCCTCCTACTCAGGGCTAAAAAAATATCAGCTGTCTGATATTGTCCTGCACTGGCATCAAATAATGGCAGAAAAATGGACTAGATTTTTATAAAATAATAGCTTTCTGTTGTGAAATTATAATTTGTTATACTCAGAGGAGAACAACTCTTCTTGGAAAATCTAATTTTCTAAATGCAGTATATTAAAGATCTTAAGTCACTTCGCTAGCCTGATTTTATACCACTTCTATCAAATGGGATTTGGCTGATGAAACTGCAAAGTGGAACAGCCTATATTTTGTTTAGAGTCATTTTTCAAATGCCTGGAGTATGTAGGATGAAAATTATCATTGCCTGTGAGTACTTATTTGTGAAATGCTTATGGAATGTCTGTGCACTGAACATTAAGGTTAATAAAGCACTGCCCCCTTTTCAAAAAAGCTTCCAGTTAACAAGGGAGTGAAACTAGAGGGGCAGGGCAGGCTGGGAGTAGTGTGCTATTGGAGAGGGGAAGTTCGTTCAGTTTAGGCTGAACTCAACTACTTCTAAAAACTTTTGTAGGATCCTGTCAGCATTACTAGCCCTGACCAGGTCTGGAGAAAGAAGAGCTGGTGAATTATGGATTGAGGAGGAGGCAGCAGTTGGGCCTTTGAAATACCCTATCCCATCCGCGGTCCCTCGTAGATGAATGACAATTGTCAGTGGGCTAACTTTGCATTTAATTAAAATGATGGAATAAAAAAAATCACTGGAATAATGACATGAATATAATAACTGGAATTTCTAGGCACTGCCAAAGTTTTATTTTAGCCGAAAACTCCAAACCTCTTTATCTTCAGAATCTTCTAAACATGAAGCACATTAATTTGTCTCCACTCCATAAATTTCTGATGTTCTGTCAAAAATATTTATAACCAGGAAGGTATTCCAAAATCTGGAAGAAGCAGGCAATGAGAAAGAACATGTATTTCTAAACAGGATCATCAATCCCTGAAAAATTTAAATTGATTAGGCTTCATTCAGGAGGACAAAGTGGAGGATAATTTTAATTTACTAACAAATAGGATTTCTTAGGCAAAATTATAACTTTGGATCATCTGATTCTTCAGAAAAATATTGTGATGACTCTTAACGTTTTTCATGTTGACTAGAGTAGTGTGTGCTCATAAAACCATGGTTCTCTGACTGAAGGTAACATTTCCTGAGTGAAATGTGCCAGATGCCAGGCAATCTTCTGAGAGTTACATTAATCCCTACAAGGTTATAAGAATGTCTCTGTCAAATTATTTATCAAGTGAGCAAATATTTGTATTTTTTTCACATGAGATATTTTATTTATCTGATTTCTTCTCTTTCAGCTCTTCTTTATGCAACTATTTTTGGAAATGTTACAACAATTTTCCAGCAAATGTATGCCAACACCAACCGATACCATGAGATGCTGAATAATGTACGGGACTTTCTGAAACTCTATCAGGTCCCAAAAGGCCTTAGTGAGCGAGTCATGGATTATATCGTCTCAACATGGTCCATGTCAAAAGGCATCGACACAGAAAAGGTATGGGTTATTATTATTTTTATTCAGTTTCTATTTTAGTAGGATCTTCAGATGCATTTAGCTTTCCCACTCACATATTGCTTGTATAATTGCTTCATAAATGTTGTTCTTTATTTGTAAGTGACATATCAATCAATCATATTTCTTGAATGCTTAGAAGGTACAAAGCACTGAACTATTAATCATCAATTAGTACCAGTCATCACATTCAATTTAGAAAATTAAGTTTCTGAAAATAACTCATTATTCCATTTCCCTAAAACACTCTCATTACCTCTCATAGTAATTCGTTGTGTTCCTCTAAAACTTAGAGTGCTGCCATTTTTCCTGCTAGAATTTATTCTAGATTTCCCCTTTGCCTTTTTTGCTCATTTAAAAATTAGAAAGAGGCTTCCTTGCTATAAATTAAAAATGTATGTGTCTTCTATGCTGTCCTCCACTTAAATTTCTCCCATCTCATGTATTTTATAAAGAACTTATAGTTCTTTATTTTCAACTTTGCCTACACACATCTGTAAAATAGATACCTCCTTCTCCAATCATCTGATATCTCTAATCTCTTGCTTGCCTTTTCATGGAGCTGCTTTTAATTTTTCTCATCTATGTCATATTTGGGTCAAATAAGAACTTAAAATCCTCCTTAAAATAAATAAAAGCAAATTTTAAAAATCCTCACTTCCTACACCCAGCTTATTCACATCAAATACAGAAGATGAAAAATAAAAGCTCTGGTACACAGAGCTTTAAAGAAACCATTCTTAAGCTATTCTACTTTATAAGCACCAGTGGAGACTGTTTTTTTTTTAGGTATTGATTTTTGACGCATGATAATTAGGTGGCATAATGCCTTCCTGTTCATTTCTCACAATTTTTTTTGTTCTTTTAACCTTGTGAGGTTGACTTATGGTTTTTCTTTAAGACCTGCTCAGAAAGCATCTTTCGATGATAAAAGGAAAAAGAAAATGAGCAAAGTAGATGTTAGTTAGGAGAATTTCATGAAGCAAGGTGTAAGTTGTTTTAAGCCAGGGCAGGTGTTATTAGGAATAGATGGTTGAGTGGAGGTGTAGGGAATGGACAAGGAAGAGAATGAGGGAGAGAAGCCTTCAGAGCGAGTGCAGGTGAAATACGTGGGGGCAGCTATGCGGAGGAATTGTGAAAGGGGTGAGATTTACTCCTCTTTCAACATTTTATAAGACGCAGTATAAAATTTCCAGTTAAACAACCCTTTAAAGTGGTATGCATGAAAACAGAAGGAAGAAAGCAAATCTACATTTCTACGGAATTTGATTAATGTATATCTAAGCCAATATATGGTTAGTAGAAAGAGTATCCAAAGAAGAAACAGAATCTTCCTTGGGGTGAAGGTGAGAGTAAGAGTTTAAGTTATCAAAAGCAGAGTGTCCTCTGAAGTCCACGTTAAATGAAACAGATCAAGAGACAGCCATCAGCCTTGTCAATAACTATCTCAGCAAGAAGCTTTCCTTTCCATAAAATGCAATAGAGCCACATGGTAACTAATAAAAAAAATCAGCGAAATGATGGAATAATGGCCTTTTGTATATTCAAAAAGAGTCTGAGCCAGGGCCTCTGGCACTAATGTAATACGTGGCAGAGTTTTGAGTCCCTGATCTCTATATTCCTGAATACTGGGTTGTTCATGAATGGACCTGACTAGATTGTCTTCAAGCCTCCCCTTAAGGATGTGCTAAACTATCTGATTCATGATGGAATTAGGGTCTAATGCACTGGCATGCAGTGTGTCTCAAAGTGCACATGCCATGTAGCAGGGAAAAATTTCTACGTACCTACCCTTCACTGCCTTAAATAATTTTTTTTTACTTGTTCATTTGCAGTTTAAGAAATGTAATTCTGATTAGTAAAGTAGCCAAGGAAAAGGAATTAATAGAACAAATATGAGGAGACAAATATTAAAGGTGAAATAAGAATTTAATTTCATTGAAAAGATTTTTTTTTTGAGACAGTCTCCCTCTGTCTCCCAGGCCAGAATGCAGTGGCATGATCTTAGCTCATTGCAATCTCCATCTCCCAGGTTCAAGCAATTCTCCTGCCTCAGCCTCCAAAGTAACTGGGATTACAGGTGCATTCCACCACACCTGGCTAATTTTTTTGTGTGTATGTGTTTTTGTATTTTTAGTAGAGACTGAGTTTCGCTGTGTTAACCATGGTCTTGATCTCTTGACCTTGTGATACACTGGCCTTGGCCTCCCACAGTGCTGGGATTACAGGCGTGAGCCACTGCACCCAGCCTGAAAAGATTTTTTAAGGGGAAATGTTAAGATATTAAAATGGATTAGCATTTGGATAAGAAAACATCATGGATGTGACTTTTAATTGAGTAAGGAATCCTTAAAATTGTTTTTGACTAATAGGAGAAGCACATTTAAATAACTGTGACAAACATAAAAGTTTCCTTGTTCACGTACGAAACAAACTCTATTTCTTATTGATTTACCCCAGTCTATTAAGAAAATCCCCATCCAGATGCATAAGTTCTAGGGTAACAGCACCAAAGGAAGGAAAAGGAAGAAAAGACATCTACCAAATTCTGGGTTTGGAAAGGGGGTGTAGGGATTTCTAGTACTGCATCATTGAACAGACTGAATTTAAAAATGATTCTTAGACTACACACCATATGCTTTACTAAACAAGAAGAAAACAAAAACTGACATTCAGTTCTCTGGTTTTTTAGAGAACCTGACAACTAGAGTAGAAGACTCGTATGCCTGTTAGGCATTCAGCTATTTAACAAATAAATAGTGTGTTTGTGTATATATATTATATATATAAATATTTAATTTTAAAATACAATAATAAAGACTTGAAGCATAAACAAAAGAATTAGTAACCAAAAAAAAAAAAATGAGAGAGAGGGAATAGATATCTTAGAACTAGATTTTACTATAGATAAGAACTGAATATAAGTTAAATAATGAATTGTAAAGATGGAATTGATAATTACTTAATATCATTATAAAATGAACTAAAAATCTAAGAAAATATTTGTTAAGAGTCTCATTACCTAACATAAATATCTGAATAACTGAGAATTAAATGCAAAAAAAGAAACTGTAAACTATTAGAAGAAAATGCGTGAATATATTTAATTTATCTTTATACATATTAAAGTAATAGAATATATAACAAGGTGGCTGACAGATAGATTTGGCTAAAAAGTGTAAAGTCTTTCACACTAGAAACTATGAAAATGAGATAAAACATTTGCAACAGATTTTGTAAGTGAAGGGTTAATTACCTTAATAGGTAAAGTGATTTATAAATTATTAAGAAGTATTAGCATACTTGGGGAGAAAAATGAACTGAGGACATAGATAGAAGACAGAACACAAATTGCTAATACACATAAAGGCTTATTTTCACTTGGAACAAAGTGTTAAAAACAAACAAATGAAGAAAACCATAGAAACATTTTTAATATGTCAAATGAACAAAGATGATACCCAATCTTAGCAAAGGCTGGTGACTGGCATTATTGTATAATTCTGGGAGGTATATAAATTGGTAGCACATTTATTGAAAGCAGTTTGAATAAGATGATATTTTAAATTTGGTGGTATTTTAGAGCTCAGCCCTTGTGCCTCTTCTGTTTTCTGTCCGTATTCCCTCCCTTAACGACATCCTGCAATCTCATGACTAAACCATCACTACCCAATGTTCATATTTATCTTGGATTTGATTCCCTGAACTACAGATTCTCCTGTCCAACTGCCTACTCATGTCCAGTGAAGTTGTCCAAAACCAAACTTCTAATCATCTTCTAAAAACCTGTTTTACAGCCGTTCTTTCCCAGTGAAATTAATGGAAACACTACCTTTCTGTTGCTTAACACAAAATCTCCCACATTTAAACCTCTGCTGAATCCTTGTGGCTCTACCTCCAGTTCTCACCACCTCCATTGCTATCATCTGGTCCAAGTCACCGTCATATCTTTCCTGGGTTTTTCCAATACCAACTAACTGCACTTCCACCTTTGTTCCTTGTATAGTCTGTTCTCAAAAGAGCAGCCAGTGAGCACATACGGCTTTTGTAACAAAAGTTTCTATGTATGTGTGTGTGTATCTACCTATCTATGTTTCTATTATGATCAATTATGTATTTATCTATATCATAGCCTTTTGATTATGAGTTAAATTGATTGAACCTGTTAAAATACAAGTGTAGAAAAAAATGAAAGGTTGATGACAGTAATAATATAAATTCCATAATTGCAATCACCATCTTAGAATTCTGTATGTACTTTTGGATGTAGCTTTAGTTAACGGTATCTGAATTTTGACATTTGTCCCATATTTAATGTTAGAGACCCTTATTAGACTTCATGTGCCTCCATAAGCCAAATACATTTTATTAGTATATATTTCCTATTTTACATTTTTCAAATATTTTTAATAGAGGTTATCAAATTTAGCTATGAGCATATATTTTAAAAAGAAATATAATCTGTGAAGCCAAATGTCTTGGTTTTAATGCTTCTCTGGTTAGTTTTAAAATAGCTATATATTTTTCCATTGCTTGTACAAATAAATGTAATGATTTATTGAAGGTAATTAGAGGAAAACCTTTGCCCCGATAGCTGAGATTTCCTTCTATTATTTCCACATATTTAGTTTTATAGATGTTTGAATTCAGCTTTAACCCACAAGCAAGTTAATCACTGTGATATAATTCCATCTTAACTTGCCTTATGTGAATAATTATTTCTCTGATACAATTGTGGCATTAAAATCTGTATTTGATGTGGAGATTGCAGCATTTGTTTCAGGCAAGTTTGCTCTAGGCAATATTTTTCAATATAGAACAGTGACTAGTTCAATTTTATTTAGTTGAAAATACGTTATTGACTGCTCATTAGCACAGTTGCTTTAGATTCTTTTTAAATTTAATAGCCCAATCCATTCTCTGGGCTTTGCTACTTGCTAATGTTCTGTGTTCATAAAAGGAGAAGAAATGGGTGGAATAAC